GGGGGGTGTATGCGGAGGGGAGGGGCGTGTGTGGGAGGGAGGGGAAGGGAGATAGAGCTTTTCCATGCAGCAGAGACAAAGGCATTCTGTGTCCCTTCAGAGGCTTTGTACTTGGACTTGGCCACTCCACTCAGGGGCAGCGCCAGCCGTAGGGCTGATGAGATTTCAAAAAATGGCTTTAGGGGCCAAGAAGCATCCGGAGGAGACCTGTGCTGAGGTGTGGCTGGTGTAGCCAGGCCCCTGCAGCAGCTTGAAGGAGTAGAGAATTGGTCACTTTTCAAATCTGTAACAGTATTTCTTTCAGCACACTGTAACTTGATCAGAAATGTTTTCTTTAGAATACAAAGGCAGGTCTTAACTCTTAACTTGGCATTCGAGATCACCCACAAGCTGATTCCAACCATCTTATCTGAATTCTCACCACCCACCCTGCCGTGCTTTACTTAAACTGGATTATTCACTGTTTTGGAAGGTATCTTACACTAGAAAAGGCAAATACTTGGTAGGCTGCTATCACAGCGCCTTCCTGTGCTGCGCAGACATTGCTCGTGGATGAAGACCCTCTCCTGCTGAACCTCATTCAGAATCCTTTGGGGAAAGCCTCTTCATGCAGCCACTATTGCAAGAAGTACCTTGAGAGTCAACTTGAACTAAACTTGAACTTGAACTGAATTCTATTTGTCATTCCTACTTCCCGTTTTCCCTCTCACTGCCTTTGCTCATGCTGTTTCCTCTGCCAGCCTGCGCTTTCTTTTCTCTCTCCCTTTCCGTTCATCAGAATCCTGTCCTGCTCTCAAGCTTCATCTGGAATGTCGACTCCTCCATGGAGACCTCCCAGGTTCCCTGTTGTACTCTCTGCTTTCCTTCTCTCTGTTCTTCTGGACTCTCATTACATGCCGTCTCTCCCTCTTGGGAAGTTCTCTTCACATTTACTGATGTGAAGAGCTCTTTGCTGCCAAACCATGCCTGTCTTTGGTAGCTGAGGCTGTATCTCGTTCACTCATTTATCCCTTGCAGAATCCAGAATAGTGTGACCCTTTCTAGAAGCTCATTGTTTGTGGAGTTGACACTGAGCATCTATAGAGGTGACTGTTGGGGGTCTGAGGGAAGGCACAGCAGTGTCTGGTAGCCTGGAACCCTTGACATGTGCTCTTCCTACTCCTACTTGCCTAATACTATAATTCCTCTTCTGGCTAGAGCTGGTCAAGGGGCCAGCATGGGAAGCCTGGCCCATTTGTCTTTCCCTCTGTCACCTCAGATCTAATATTCACACCAAGGCCACTAAAATTTGAAAACTGTGTGTAGTTCCATCCTCCTATGTCCTGAGTCCATACTGACTGGCAAGGAGCAGATGTAATTTGGAGATGGGCTTCATCTGCGAAGTAGCAGTGAACTTGACAAAAGAAAGAATGAGGAAGAGCAAAAGGAAGGAGGATGGGGGCAAAGGAGGAAGGAAAAAGGAAGGAAGGAGAGGGAAGGAAGGAAGGAAAGAAAGAAGGAAAGGAAGGAATGAGTTTCAAAATAGATGTTCAAAACTTACTATATTTCATACTTTGGAAGATATATTTAGGGCTGTATGATTGCCTGGCTTATTGAAGGAACTTTCCCCTGTAAAATATTTAACCCCACACTGATAGACCTGGAACAATTTGCTCCTTTTGTTTACACTAGGAGGCAAAAGAATGAAATCCCTGCATTTTCTGTCTGTCTTTGTGGCCGCTCTGATTGAATATATCCATAGAAAAAGAAGAAAAGAAAAAAATACATATATAATCAATCCCAGATTTGTTATTACACAGCTTGGTTTACAAGAAGGAAAAAAAAAGTCATCCAATCATCAGTCCTCACCCCTTTTCCCACACCAAATACTACCTAAAAATCAAACTAAACAGAAAAAGTTCACCCCAAAGCCCCCCATGAAATAAAACTAGCACTGTACTGTGTGAAGCATAGTCAGAACTTAAGCCAGAGTTGCTCTTAGAATGAATACTAGTTGGCATCACTGCATTCTGGAGACTAATAAGCATTGGGTCCAGCAAGGTTGGGAAACCAAACCAAACATGAAGCCCAGGACCCTTCAGGAGGGGCTAAAGTGATTTCAGGTTGGTATCTGCTGCCCTCAGTCTTCATGAACAAGTAAAGCAAATCCTCTCTGGAGAAAGGGGTCCCATTGCTCACAGATTAAAAAATCTAGCAAATATGAGATTACAACCAAGTATTATTAAACAGAAGAAAACCAAGTACCTATGATTGAATGACACAGAAAGAACAAGTAGATTTAGACCCCTAAGGATTTGAGAGTTTGGAGTTATCAGATATAAAATAACTGCAAGAAATGTAAGAAATAAAAGATGGAATCACAAATGAGCAGGTGACTAAGATGAACATAAATGACCAAGCACTTTCCAAAACAACTAGATAGGACATTTAGAAATTAATAATATAATCACTGAAATAAAAAATTAAATGGATGGGCCAGGCACAGTGGCTTATACCTGTAATCCCAGCACTTTGAGAAGATGAGGCAGGAGGATCACTTGGGACCAAGAGTTTGAGACCAACCTGGGCAACAAAGTAAGACCCCGTCTGTACAAAAAATAGAAAAAAAAAATTAGCTGAGCGTGGTGGTATGCACCTGTAGTCCTAGCTACTTGGGAGACTGAGGCGGGAGGATCTCTTAAGCCCAAGAGTTCAAGGCTGCAGTCATCAGTGATGGCACCACTGTACTCTTGCCTGGACAACAGAGTGAAACCCTGTCTCAAAAAAAAGAAAGTTAAGTGAATAGATTTAGCAGCAGGTAGATACCGTTATAAAAAGAGAATCAGCAGATGGAAAATAAATCTGAGGGTAGTACAGAGAAACAGGAAGGAGGAAATATGAAAGAGCAGTTAAGTGATATGGAAAATAGAATGAGAATGCCTAACATGTTTCTGATCACAATGTCAGAAAGAGAAAACAGAGTGAAGTGGCAATATTTGAAGAGGTAACAGAATGAAGTGGCAGCATTCCATAATTGATGAAAAGATGAATCTACAAGTAAAAGGAACACAACAGAATCCATAGAAATAAATTCACATTAGACTTGAGTCTAATGAAATCTATAGCACCACACACACAAAGAAAAGGAGACAGAGGGAAAAAATAGGACATTTATAAAGAAATGACAATAAGCAGCAGTCTTCTCCATACTGATAATAGAACCCAGATAGCAATGAAATAACATCTCAAAAGTATAGAGCAGAAGTAATGAGCAGCCTAGAACTGTGCCCATGGCCAAACTACCCTTCAAGGATAGGATTGTATTCATTTTGTATTGCTGCATATCAAATTACTGCAAACTTAGCAGCTTAAAGCAGCACACCTTTATGATCTCATGACTTGTTCAGGTCAGAAGTCTAGTACAGCTTAGTGAATTATTTGTTTCCAAGCTTCCAAGCTACAGTGTAGACATTGGCTCGGGTTGTGGTCTGAAAAGAAGATTGACTGGGAAAGAATATGTTTCCAGACTTTCCAGGTTGCTGGCAGAATTCATCTCCTTGTGGCAGAAGGACTCAGGTTCCCATCTTCTTTCTGGCTTTTGGCTGGAACAGCTCTCAGCTGCTAGAGGCTTCCCACAATTCCTTGCCCTCTCTCCGTGGGCCCTCTCACAACATGGCAGCTTGCTTTTTCAAGCCAGCAAGGGGGAAAAAGTCTAGCTCCAGTCTGCCGAGATGGAATCTTATATAACATAACAGTCATTTGAGTGAGATCCCACCACCTTTACCGTATTCTGTTGGTTGGAAGAATGTGGCAGCTCCTGCCCGCATTCAAGGGGAGGAGGTTCTACAAAGGCTTGAGCACTAGAGGGTTGGAATTACTAGAGATCACCCTAGGATTTGTTGCTACAAAGGTGAAATGAAAACGTTTCCAGATGAACAAAAACAGAGTTTATAACTATAGATCTTCATTAAAGAAAATTTTTTAAAGTATTCTTCAGGAATAAAGAAAATGTCTTGAATGATTTGAAGGACAACTGAGAATGGTGAGCAAATCAGTTAGTAAATATATTGTAAGTTAGTTGTTGCTGTGTAACAAATCACCCACTAATACTGCAGTTTAAAACAACAAACATTTGTTATTTCACATAATCTCTGAAGGTCAGGAATCTTGGAGAAGCTTAGCTGGGTGGTTCTGGCTCAGGGTGTTGTTTATTTTATTTTATTTTTTTGAGTTGGAGTCTCACTGTCGCCCAGACTGGAGTGCAGTGTCCGCTCCCGGCCACTGCAGCCTCTACCTGCTGGGCTCCGGCGATCCTTTCGCCTCAGCCTTCCGAGTAGCCAGAATTACAGGTGTGCGCTACCACGCCCGGCTCATTTTTGATTTATTGTAGAGATGAGGTCTCGCCTGCCCAGGCGGGTCTCGAACCCACGGGCTCAGGCAATCCACTCACCTCAGCTCAGGGTCTTTAATGAGGTTGCAGTCGAGCTGTCAGCCAGGATGGCGGTCACATGAAGGCTAGAGGATCTGCTTCTGAGCTCATGTGGTTTGTGGCAGGCCTTATTTCCTAGCAATCCTTTTGGACTGAAGCCCACAATTCTTTGCCTCAGGGGCCTTTCCACAGGGATACCTGAGTATCCTTAAGACATGGCAGCTTCACCCAGAACAAGCAATCCAAGGGAGAAGAGAGAGAGAGAGAGAAGCCATGGTGCCTTTTATAACCTAATAGTGGAAGTGGCATACTGTTACTTCTGCCATATTGTATGGGTCACACAGAGCAACCCTGGTGCATTGTGGGAGGGGACTATACAAGGATATGGCTATCAGGAGGTATTGGGACCATCTTGAAAACTGGCTGCTACACACATGGGTAAATCTAAACAAATATTGTTTTCATGAAATACAAATACTAATATCTACTTTTTTAGGATTAAGAAAAGACAAAGCTAACCATTGCTTTGTTAAACTCTGGTGTGTCCATGTGGCTCTTTGAGCTATGGCTGCCATATTTCCTAGCTTTGGCCCCCTCCCCTACCTTGGGGAGGTGAATCTCCTCTCTCTTCTCTCTGTCTAATTTACTTTCGAAATAAACTATATCTTCCATTAAAAAAGACAAAGCTGAAATATTGTACAGTAAAAGCATGTATATCACGAAGGTGATGATTTGTATTTTTGAATTTTCAGGGAGGGTATTATACCTAATAGCTATATAGCTGTTAACATTGAACTTTTTAAGGCTTTGTTACGTTGAATACACATGAGAAAATCCCAGAGATAACTACTAAAAGATTAGAAATAGGTTGTATTATTTCTAAACCAGAAGAAAGAGAAAGGGAATAATAAAAAAGTAATTTTTAAGAAGACAAGAAAAGAGAAACAAGCAAGCACAAGAGAGTAGAGAAAAAATAGCTGGTAGATAGCAGACAAATATAACAATAGTTACAACAAATGGAGTAAATTAAATGGGGGTAAATCTGACAATTAATAGAGACTATCAGAATTTAACACCCCAAAAACGAACTCCTTGCTGTTTATAAGATTCCCACATAACACATGAGACACTAGAAAGGCAGAAAGTAAAATAGAATTTAAGATAGAGAGAATTGCTATATAATCCTAAAAGACCTAACTCACAGAACAATAACAAAATTTTCAACTTTCTGTTAGAATATCGTGAGAAACATGTTATCAGCCAGGTTCTTGTGTTCTGCCCGTTGACAGTAAATCAATCACTGAGATACAAGTTTTACAAAAGAGAAAAGATTTATTCACAAGGCCACCAAGCAGAGAGCAGAATAACTCTGAAATCCACCTCCCTGAAGATAAGGCTTAGGGATCTTTATGGGTTAGGGAGGTGGGATGGTCTACGGTTTGGGTAAAGGTGATTGGTGATTGTTCCCTGTAAGCTTAGTCTGGGTTCTTGGCATTTTGTAGGACATGTATACAGAAAATTGCATCATTAGCATGATCTGAGAGTGGAGTTTTTGGCCTTCTGACAGCAAAAGGCCACCTCTTGGGCACTTGTGAAGGCCCAGTCGAAGGGTCAGTGGTCTTAACCGGTTTGAGCTGGACAGGAGCTGGCCCAAGTTCCTGAAAAACAACTGAAGCGACCATTACCATGGTGACCTATGAATGTTATCTATAAAGTAGCCAGTGAAGGTTAGGTTTCAGCATTTAGCAGTGAGGCTTTGCTACCACAGCCTTCAGCTCCATGGAAAAAGGAAAAAAAAATAGCAGAAAGCAATCAGGGCAGGCAGATCTGATCAAATTAACTCTTCAGCTTCAAACACAGGGATACATTTATAAATCCTTCCTCATCTTGGTAGATTTTAAAGTTCCTATATTAGTTTTTGGTAGGTTGAACAGTCATACACAAAAAAACCTCCAAAATGATAGAAATTTAAGCAATACAGTTAATAATCTTAATGGGCACGTAGAACTTTATTCCCAATGACAAAGGAATTCACAATCCTCTAAGCATTCATGGAATACAAGTCTTATAGTAACTGGCCATGTACTGGGTTATACAGAGAGTCTTAATACATGTCAAGACATCGGTATATCATATGGACATGTTCTGACTTTAGTGCACTTAAGGTAACAATCAATAACAAAAATACATTAAAAACCGCTATATGAGCTGGGCTCGGTGGCTCAGCCTGTAAATCCTGTGCCTTTGGGAGCCTGAGGTGAGTGGATTGCCTGAGCCCGCGGGTTCGAGACCTGCCTGGGCAACTTGGCGAGACCTCGTCTTTACAGTAAATCAAAAAATTAGCCGGGCGTGGTAGCGCGCACCTGTACTTCCGGCTACTCTGAAGGCTGAGGTGGAAGGATCACCAGAGCCCAGCAGGTCGAGGCTGCAGTGGCCAGGAGCGGCCACTGCACTCCAGTCTGGGCGACAAAGTGAGACTCCAACTCAAAAAAAAAAACACCAAAAAACCACTATATATTTGGATATTTAAAACACACACTCCTTAATAATGCATGGGTAAAGCAAGAAATTATAATGGAAGTTTAAAGCACTAAGAACTAAACATTAAAAACCATACTTCAAAGCATCTTACATGATAGAGTGAAAGTAACACTTAGAGGGAACTTTATAGTTGTAAGTGCTTATGTTAGAAAA